AAGCTCAATTTTTAATTTGATTTACTCTTCTAATAACTGTAAATGTTGTTTCGTACGAGCTAACGTGTTGAAAATGAATACGCAGATCAAATTGATTGCATAAAATATCTATATAAATTCGGGAATATTTTTTGCTTTGCACGTAAATGCATGATGAAAAGAACGACATTATATGGCTGAATCTTCATCACTTTACCGTTCCTCCGTCCCAACAACTTTTATTGCTTTCTGAAGTAAATAAGAACGTAGTCAATTCGAATCCGAGTCGCTAAAATCGAAATATACAAACACCGAGCCTGCAATTCTCTACGGTTGTTAGATCTCCGATTTAGGATGAACTCATATAATTACAAGGAAGCTACGTTGTTTGTTCTTTCAAGCGAAATCAGTAATTCAAGATGCATGTCTCTACACACTTTATTACTTTCTTAGTATTTTCAGTGATCGATATTTAGGTACCTGCCAAATGTTTTTTCTTGGTGTTATTATAAATTTGTATCATAAAACGGTTTAGAAAATCCCGTCAGCGCATCAGCTAACAAAATAAATGTAAAATAGAAAGAATGATACACAGTAATTTAGTTTTACCTTTATTTGGGTCATTAGTCCTCGTATTTTTCGCACAACTAATGCGGACTGTCATTCTCTATATTGAAACAGATGGTTTGCTAGTCATATTTGATTATTATAATTATGAGTTATATGTGCAATATGCACGACTAACCGTGTTTTCCTATACACTTCATAAGTTGCATAAACTACACTATTTTTTAATGAGCGATGCAATTAAACCGAACTGTTTATTACTTACTAGCAGTTTGTATAATTATAATTATTACTGAACTGTTGATTATTGTTAATTCACAGTTAATATTTTACAATCCTAAAAAGAGTCAATATGTAGAATTTAATTTAAAAATTAAGGCCTCTTTGAGTATTTGATTCTGTATTAATTCTGAGAATTTGAAGTGCCTTGAATCTTGATCCCGAGAACATAATATGATCCAAAATAGTTCTCATAAAGGGAGGCTGTGATTAATCTACGACAGCTTATCCTATTTCTTTCAAAAAAAAAAAAAACATTAACTCTCTATATTAGCTCTCTGCTTATCGTGCTCTATGTGCGCTGATTACAGCCTCACTGTATGAGAAAACTTTTGGATTATACGGTATAACATATACTTATAAATTTGACCAGATGATCGATCAATGAATCGCATTAACTTAGATAAATAAAAAGTAAATAAACTAAGAAGTAATCATTCATTAAATATTTAGTGATGCATTGATTAACAGGACCTGACTAAATTGTGTTGAATTTATTACATAGTTTTTTAAGTAAAAGACGAAAATATAAGGAACTGAGTTTTCTTGCTAATGTTGCTATACCTGCAGAGGAAATGTATTTGCATGTGGTAGAAAATGGCTTTGCAGATTGATTATTATCTATTGCATCCTTTGAGATTATTACGTGATCAACATGTTCGAAGAGTGTTCCTGACAACTACCAAGAGAAACTGATACTTATTGAAAATATGATATCAATATTTTCTTTTGACAGATCTTCCTAAATTCATGCGTTTTGTGGTATTTTGGTTTTTTCAAATCAATGTGGTCGTTGTTTCCAAATTTCTAACTCTAATCTTCGAATCGACTACATATTACTAAATGATGGATTCTGGTAAATTTGAAAGTTGTTTGAATAACTTGCATCCACCTAAGAAAGACATGAGATGAAAATTTCTTTGACTCATGAATTTTCGGTATGTAGATCGCATGATATTCTTCTTCTTCCTCTAACTTCTATATAGGCTGCCATCTTTTGGTTGCTCTTCCTCAGGAAGGTTTTCTTACTGTTGATTTGTCTCTAGTTAGTCTTATGATTTCATCTTCTCCCATTCTTGACATGTGTTCATCCCATTCTCGTTCTCTTCTTCTTGTCCATTCGTTCATCGTTGTAGTTGCTGTTTAATCTTTTTACTACGTGTTCGTTTCCATGTGGTTTTATCAACTACTTATTCTTTTCAGTTTTCATTTACTTCCAAGAGTTGTTCGGTTTTGCAGGTCTCTGCCCGAGTTTCGGCGGTACCTATATGTATTGGTTAGTATTGGTCGCATAACTAATGTATATACTTTAGTTTTTGCTTCAGTGCATTTATATGTTCCCCATATAAATCCCTTAAAGGGCCTTAATAATCTCATCGTGAATTTCGAATTTTGTCTGCCGATTATTTAATAATTGTCATTACATCACATGCTCGACTTTGCTAATTTTTCCAGTGCAAATATTTCCTTACACTGCACTTTTCAGTCTTTGGAATTATCGGGGTTTCAAGGTGGCCCCTGATTATGTTGCATTGACACTATATTTGAATATTTAGAAACTTCATAAACTACTTTCCGCAAATATTTATTTCAAAAACAGTTTCCAGTTACTTTAACACAATTATTTTCATTGTGGCTAAAGTAAACACAACTTAATATTGTCGACAAGTTTGGGAATCGTGCCAAACCGAAAATAGATATAACTGGTGGTATTGTTAATATTTTAACCGTGATTTGGTAGTGTGGATATTTTAGAGTTCTCCCTTAATGGACATTTGTTTACTTACTATTCGTATTTATACTTATTACTTATTATTACATTAATTTCTGCCCTAATCATTCACTTTCTCTCTTTCAGACAGTAAGTAATTAAACTATTTAATTAATACCTATGCCATTATAATTGAAAACAAATGTAAAACATTAATTTTTTTTTGAAATTCTTTGATCTGAATTCGCAATGAAGTGTATGATTTGAAAGAGTAGATACATGTGAGTTTTTGTTTTAACTTTTTTATTAATAATGGCTGCAATGTTTTCATAATAATCTTGAAAGTTTCTTGATTCTTTATTTTAAAATGCTTTTACAACATTTTTTAATTATACCTTTACTAAGGAAATTTGTTAAACCAAGTGAATATTTACATTCAGACTACGGAGTTTGTATGTGTGTACTTTTTAACAAAAAACTTATTTCATGTTTTCTTAATATTTTCACAGTTTGTAAGTACTAGAAGAAATAGGTTTCACGTTTCCATCAGTTCGCTATTTGTTGAAAATTCACTGGACAAATAATCCTTATGATAAATTACCTTGAAATTTTGAGTCAACTCTTACATTATCACTACTATAAGGGGAGCAACAGGCCAACAAAACTTTTATTGCCGTTTCTTTCAAAATATAGATAGAAGTCCTCTTAAATCTTTTTTAGTAAATCTCACTTGAAGTGTGTAGAAAAGCCTTTTTCAAGCGTAAGCTAAAAAAGTATTATAAGCGAGTCCATCGGGCGACTGGCTACTTTCATGTTTTCTCGACTTTTTATGACTACTAGTGTACGAAAAAATGGGTCTCTCGTTTCCGTCTGTGTGTCTACCGTTAAGTTATATAAACATTTACTTGGCTAGTTCCACAGCTATCTTAAATGAGCAAGACGTGTTCTTCCACTTGGCAACGTTGCATTAGGGGAAGAGGGTAGTTCGATACCGATGTTCGCTGTGCTTTCGGACCACCTCAATCGAGGCGTTTTCAAGCATTATTCAAATGCAAATTTCTATAGAGCAATAAAAATTAAATGCATGCCAAATATAAAACTACAATTATTTCTTTCAATATTTTAACTTTCGAGAATACATTTTCGCTGCAAGCGTATAACATCAATTTAACATTTGCTGTAATTAAAATATTTGCAAAATTATGCGTCAGTTGGTTCAAAATTATCAAAACAAACAGAAATATAATATATAGTTCAGAAGTCATACATTTTGACAAAAATAAGATTTCTAGCTAAACTGTGAAGATTTTCTTGGTATTTTCGAGCCCATATGGTGCAGGAAATGCTAAAAATTATAACAAAGGGCTTCAAAAGTTACATTTCTGGAGTTTCTGAACGAACTCTCTGAATCTACAAACGCTTGTTTTCTTTAACATTAAAAATATGGCTTACTGTTCGGTTTTGGAGTGTAATAACAGCCAAAGAAAGTGCGTACATTTCTAAATTACCAAAAAAACAATGTGATTTCAGAGTGGAAAGAATGTTGTGGTCAAAAAGGAATAAATGTAAAAAATGGTAAATTTCCATTTACATTATCAAAAAGAAATTACAATTACAAGAAATTATAATCTTTTTCTTACAGCACGAATATGCTTTGTTTATTGTGAACCAAAACATATAAATAAATGGCGATGCAACAAATAGAATTGGATTACAGCCCTACAAATAGAAGGACGTTATTGTTGGTAGCAATTCGTACGCTACAAATTCCTACCAGTGTAGGAAGTTATGGAAAAATATTTCTGTGGGCAAAATTATTACTCCATACAAAAACGGCTCCACTGAAAAAAATTAAGTACCTGTAGTCGGTGACAAAACTAAAAAAAAAAAAATGCAAAATAAATTTGTTTGGTTAAGACAGTTCTGAACACGATTTAATAAGCGTCTTCCAGCCATTAAATGAGTTGTCTACATAAGATAATCAAGGAGATGAAACATTCAAGAACCAAGGTGAAGTTTGAAAACATAAATTCGCAAAACTTAACAGAAAATATTGTGAAGCGTAGAGAGAAAAGGAAAGACTTGAACAGGAAAACAAGAATCTGACAGCAAAGTTGAAACAAAAAAATTGATCGAAGGTTATTTCAACAGAACTTCCCTCACCCCTGAAGTAAAATAAAAGAAACCCAGCTTTTTAGAAAAATTATAAAATTATTTTATGAGCATTCTTATAGGTTGAAATAAAAATATGTGGAGTACGTTTGCCAAAATTAAAAAACCACCAACATTGCCTTTGCTTCGTACGCGCATTTTCAATTTTGTTTTTTTAGAATTTATTATTTTTATTTTGTTTTTTGGGGTTCATTCGTTTATACGTAAACATGTCCGCCAAATCCTTTACATCCTACACCCTATTCATGCCGCCGCCACTGCGTTGACATACGCTGCGGTTACCAATGCTGAGTAGAGCAGCCACGTTAGTAACCCTCGTGGACCTGGAAGAGGGTGGAAACCTGCAAACCTCTTCGGCTCGGCAGTACCGAGTGGTTCCTCAACAAAACTCCTGCAACGAAAGCCGCTACGCACACAAAATCGTCATCGAAGCAAATATCGGCACTCCACGTGGTAAGTCCTTCTATTTCCTCAGCTGAATTTTCAGCATTTTTTTTTGGGTCCTTCGATCGTGGATATCTGTAGAATGTTGTGCTGTATTATGCAATCGTTCCGCTAGTGGTAAACTGAACTAATCGCTATACCAGAAACGTTATTCGCAAATTTACTTTTTTGATTTTATCGCCCGCTATTTCCAGCGTTTTTGTTTGAGGTTAGTGGTGGATAACCTAAGATTGCTTTTGTGACGATTGTTTGCATTCCAGCTTGTAAGGATAATCATTTCGGTCGCAATATGACTGAAGAGAAAATAAGGAAACTAAACTTTGCAGACGTACTGAAAATAATCGGTTGGTGGCTATATAGGTAGTAGGTACAGCGTGGCGCAAAACGCCGTCGAAGATGAGGAAGTGCACATTAATTTGCTAATGCAAATTACGGATCTCGAACATATTCATACCGGGTTTTATACAAATCATAACACCCGATTGGCTTGATCGAGGACGACCATTTTGATGAAGAAGACGCTGTTCGTAAACGGTTTGACGCAATGTTTTGCTAGTATTAAGGTCATCCATCACAAAATCTTTAAGGAACAAGTGGCTACTCGCTAAGGGCCTCCTCCACTGCGTGCCCGGCCCCATATTAAATTAAATTAAATGATCTAAAATCCTCCTTTCGACGTTTTATGGGGAGTTAACTAGTTTTTTGCCATTTATTGAAATGTTTGACACAATCATCAATAATTCCACAAAAAAAATTAGCAACTTAAAGATTGACATTCACTAATTCCCTAAACGAGCTACCACCAAAAAAAAAAACAAAGTTGCACATGATGGCTATGTCTAACGATTTTTTAAATTCATTTTTCAAATGCAAATTATTCAAATGCGATTTCCCGGCGCTGTTTTTTTTACGGAAACCGTATTCTTGGCATATTTTCATGAAAAATCCATCAAATACATGAGTTCTACACTTTGGGCCAAATATTCTACAGATGATTTCGAAATATATGCAACAATTTTAACCACGACATCACGTGCCGTAGTAGTGTGGAAATATAGAAAAAACAAATTAAAAATCGAATGGGGCAATGGGGCAAACCCCCATGAACCACCCTCGACACGAAGTCACTGATCCACCTTTTAAACAGTAGGTGGAAAAACGTTCGAATAAAAACGGTGTAAACACTCTCAGTTGCAATTAAAAGTAAAACGGAGTATCATTCGTTCATTCATGCATTCATTCATCGTTAAAGGTCAGTGCGAAAGATTATTCGTTGTAGAAACAAATGGTGGCCCTGGGAAGGACCGCTTTTTGGTAATGCTTTAAGGTGATCGATTTTTGATTCTGACGAATGTTTGGTTCTTGCCACAACGATTTTACATTGTTTATTGGAACAAAAATAAGAGCAACTTAGAATGTTTTTAGAAGAAATGTTGAAAATGTTGTCATTGACTACCAATATAGCCTTCAGAACGTTGCAACATGTGTGTTGATGGATAAAAAACCATCGGGAGTTCCACGAACTGTAGCGGCTGCCACTTCCAGTTGTTGTTGAAGCTCTTCGATAGTTTCTGGACACTGTTGATTTCCATAAACTAACTGTTTCATCCAACTGATGCCGGCCCACACATTTATGAAAAACCGTCGTTGAAATGGTACTTCTTGAAGAGCGTGTGGATTTTCATCGGACCAAAAGTAAGTTTTGTGGCTGTTGAAAACGGCATTGCGAGTGAATCCTGCTTCATCCGTAAACAGAGTGCACTTTAAAAAGTCAGGGCGTTCAGGACACTGCTGTAACACCCATTTGCAGTAAATTATACAACGTGGACAATCAGTGGGCTCCAAACCTCGCACTTTTTGGACACGGTATGGATGTGTCCTTGTTCTTTTAATGTACGATGCACTACAAACTGAGAAACTCCAACTTCAACTGCAAGTCGGCGAGTGTTGTTGTCGGGCTCTTCTTCGACGTGTTCCAAAATTTGTTCTTCAGCTTACAGTATTCTTTGTCCTATCACGGCCATGATCGTGAGTTTGAGGTTGAAGGTACCATATTCTCGGAGATGTTATACCACTAACGCAAATGTTCGCGCACACCATAAAGCATTACCATATCGACACACTCTGAATTGGAAAAGATTCACTGTAAACCAACAATGACCTTTCGATGCAAACAACTGATGACTCGCCCTTTTCGTGTTTTTGCACGTTTCTTATCAGTCACTTTTTTGGTTCTTAATCCGAGTCATTCTGTGCCATTCATTGAAAGAAGTAGGCCAAGAAATACTACCAGCGGCATGTATAACAATTTATATTTAATTTTAAATATTTTTTCTAGACGTTCCTACCACTTAGAAGCGTAAACTTTACACAACGCGATGATCTTATTGTGAGCTATCCCCATTTTTTTTTATTGCACATATTTCGAAATCAGGCTGTATGTTCAAGACAATGTTTAAAATTGAAAAAGATTTGGATATCAGCAAGTGTGCAAAATGATTGGCTTTCTAAAAACAAAAACAAAAAAATTATAAAGCAAAAAAATCGAAAATTTTGTCGATGGAACAAATAAATGAATTTTTGTGGCTTTTGATGATTTTTAATAGTTACGATATGAAATTGATAATGGATTAGTAGGCATCCTATTTAAAAATTTATTGCACAGGTTACTCTTATCATTGGCCGGGCAGGAAATGTATGAAATTAAGAAAGAGTGAAACGAAACTTCGACGTTTTTTCATACATTATGCTATCAAAAAATATACTAGTTTTCAAAAACAACTTTAGTTTCCTTCCTCAAAAAAGTGCTAAATTTCTAAATCTTCCGGAAGCGTCATTATACACGGGTCACTATTTCCGACGTACCTGAGCATTTCTTCTTGTTGATGCAGGAGCTACTATAGATGTTTTAAAACATCGTGGGGGCTGGAAGTCAAGTAGTGGCCGTAGGATACGTAGAGAATTCAGTGAATAATAAAAAACAAATTGCTTAAAACATTCGCAGTCTTATGATGAAAATGAAGCTAGCAAATTTGGTAAAAACAACGAAGGGCTCTATCTTCGGGTTTCATTTGGAATGCAGGATCCTAAAATTTTGGGCTACTAAAAAAAGAAAAAGTCCATGAAGCCCTTCTACAAATCGATAAAAATTCCTACGTTAAATTAATGACAGCGGGTGGTATTTATATTTGTCAGCTACGATTATTGCATTGCATTTGATGGTTTAGAAGTTATTCACTGCTTTAATTGCGACGTTTTGGTTACGCCTCTCGGTTGTGTAAACTGCCTACGGCAAGGTATTAAAGATGACCAAATTGTAGACACGAATCATGCTGTTTGGGATCATCATGTCCTGTTCACTGTGCAGCCCTCGAAAGACTTAAAACAGATATTTTTTCAGCATAGCAAACAACTACAAATTCGTTCGGAAATGAGGTTGAAGCACATGGGCCTGACAAGTTTGCACAGTTTTCCATTACGTATACAAATATTGCCTCTTTATTTGCTAAGTCGAATTTTTTCACTTTATATGTTCAACAACAGAATCCTGACTGTATTACATTAAGCGAATCCTGGTTATCACCTGTTATTCCAAACTCTCTAATAGCTCGTAATGACTACAATATCTATCGCACTGATCGCACTTTACGAGGAGGAAGAGTTTGCATATTTAAAAAAAAAATGTTTTTAAATAGTTCGCCGTAAAAAGTTATGGCAAAAATTTTGGCAAAATTGACCTGGTTGGTGTTGAGGTCAGGTATTGTTCTTACAGCTTTTTTATGTTCTGCGTTTATCGACCACCTGCTAGTTCCATTGTAGACGATCAGTCTTCATTTGATGAAATCAAGTCCCTCAGTAATATTCATCTTAATTTCTTAATATTCGGAGATTTTAACTTTCCTAAAATTTCATAGCCAAACATGCAGTTATTAGATAATAATAATTCTGCCCTCGTAATTGTGGATATGCTTCTGGAAACCATGTTGTACAATCGATTACTTCACCCAGGATCCATGGGAGGTTTTTACAAATGTACTATCTGATTTAATACACAAAAATTCTAAAACTTACAAGATCAAATACAATATGAAAAAACCTTGGATTCAACAAATTTTCGTAAAACGTGCAAGAACGAAGAAACGAACATACTAGCTGATTTATTTGGTAACGTGTTTACTGCCCAACTTAGCGGTAACCTGCCACCATGCACAACACCTCGACTAAAACCATCTCTCCTCCCTTGACGTTTATCATGACTAGTGCATTCCAGACATCAGTACTTCCACCAATTTGGCTTTAGGCTCAAGTTATTCCTTTATTCAAAGAGGGCGATAAAAACGAATTTGCTGTAAAATCATGGAAAGAATCATATGCCGTCACCTTCGCCAATTTTTAATTGATAATAATGTAATTTCCTCAAACCAACACGGTTTTGTACCTGGCAGGTCCACCGTTACATGCCTACTTCGATACCTAAACGACTGGTCATTATCATTAGAAATAAACGAGCAAGCGGATGTCATTTATTTAGATTTCGAAAAGGCGTTTAATGGCGTTCCGCATCGTCGCTTACTGTCTAAGTTAGAAAGTTCTGGAGTGCGAGGTCTTTTGCTAGAATGGAATGAGGTTTTCCTAAGCGACCGGTACGTTAATGTAAGAGTAGCTTCATCGTTTTCTACAAAACGTAAAGTACTGTCTGGTGTTCCATAGGGATCAGTTCTAGGTCCAGTATTATTTCTCGTTTATGTATCAGATCTGCTATTTTTATTAAAGTTCTCTCACGTTTTTTTATGCCAACGATGGCAAATTGTATGGTACGAGTAACCCAGCAACAAGTTCGCACATTATTCAAGATGACCTTTCAGTGTCTTACAGCTGGACTGGCATCTGACTAATGCCTTTAAATATTCACAAGTGTGTTGTTTTTCATTTGGGCAGACTCTTCACCACCTACTTAGGTGATACCTTCGGCAGCAAACTTTCTTTTTCGCAGCAAGTCACGCATATCGTCGAATATGTTAGTGTCATTTGGTTTCCTACACTAATAAAATAAGGGACAAACAACTAATTGAAAAAGTACAGCGTCGCCGTTTGAAAACTGTTGTAATTTTGACAAATGCAAGTTATGAGGATAGACTAGCCGTATTAAAACTTCCAACTTCAACATCACGTCGCATATTTAATGATCTCGTGTATACTTTTAAAACCCTCAATCATAAGCTTAGTGTAGATGTTGCCACCATTGTTGTTCTAGCTGATGTATCCCACTTTCGTGGTCACTCTAAAAAACTGTTTCATGAAAAATATAAAACGAAATAGCGACAGCAATTTCTAACGAGTACTGTGTTTAAAATTTGGAACAGTCTGAATGTAGAAAGTATAAATTGGGGTTCCCCCGTTGAGTACAATAAACCATTTATTTATTTATTAAAAATTCCAATAGTGTGATAGTTTTTAAAACCAGACTAAAAAATTATTTTGATATGCCCGTAGCGTAATATACAGTAACGAGAACAATCTTCTCTTGAAGGCAAGCAGTAATCATCTAGCTGCTGTATTTTGTTCCTTCGGATGAGCACAATAGGTTTTTACCTCTGCTCGATATTTATATAATAATAATATTAAAATAATAATTTTTGATCAAAATAAAGAATGTTAACCGTCCACGTCCAGTAATGCCTCGACTATTGCAAAGTGTTCAACCAACAAGAAACGGCCACATAGAAGCCAAGCATCAGCAGAATCAAGTGCAGCTTAGAACCTTTATTTGTCGCAGATCCAGACTGATGCTAATAAGAATCATTTATTTAATTTTGTTAAATGTAAAAGCATAAATTTAAACGTGTACTTTAACGAATAAATTATTGTTGTCATGGTAATTGAATTTATTTCTCTTTAACCCGTGGGATTTTTCTTTACATTTAGTCCCTTGGGAACAAATGAACCACTTTAGGCCAAAAAATTGGATTTAAATCAGCCATTTAATCCCAGAAGTGCAAAAAATATTTAATTGTGTTGACGTTTAAGTTTGTTTCGTCTTCAAGGCACTACAGATTTTTAAAATTTGTCATTTTTATTTCTCGGGTAGGTATATTGGAGGTTGGAGGTATCTGCATCTTAAATAATGACCTCTTTAATGTGAATTTCTATGTGTACTACTTTAGGATTACTATTAATTTGCAACATATTGTGCAACATACAACATATGCTTTTTGTGGTTCATTCAGTCTCTGATTTTTAACCTTACGTGTGTGGTATTTTGAAAAAAATTAACTTGTAAAACATAATTTTACAATGTATGTTAGAAACCACAAAATTAATTCCTCGGAAATTTTGTACACCCGTAAGGATTAAATCCAATGTTTGTATAGATCTGATGTCGTGTTGTGTATAACTTATATACTTTTTTAAGCTAATAAAGTATCCTATATTAACGAATCACTGTATTTATACGAAGTCTTACGAACTTTGCTACTTAAATTATGTATACGTCAGATTTATACGGGTACTGAGATTAAGTAATGCTAATGATATACATTGATTAGATTAATAAAAAAAAACTTTTGAGATCCTAGAATTACAGCATACAAATTCATCGTCTATTATTCTCTGCTTCTCACCCCATCCGTAAAAGCTTAGCCTAACTACCAATAATTCATAATTTTATATAATACACAATTTTGTTATTATTTTTATTGGCTAATATTCTTAGTTTTTAATATAACTTCTTAAATATTATTCCAAAGGTCGCGCATCAATTATACTGCACAAATTCTAAGTTTGGTATAAATTTGAGTTTTTTGTTGATTATAATAATATACAAAATAATTTTCTAAATATGGGCTAAATTCACATTTTAGATATTCTGAAAAAAAAAAGTTTCATTGAATATGATTTCGAGATGTGAGATCCCTTATGAATACCATTAAGATACGCCACTGAATTGCTTCTATGAATTTTGGTTCGAGATTTATTTCGCTTCTCACTCCGTCCTTTATATACATTCGTCCATGTGTGCATACCATATCTATGTACTTACATCACACTTGGCCCTGGCCGACTACAGAACCTTTATCATTATCACTTTAGTTCGCCCGTTGTAAAAATATATCTAAATACCACAGATGTGTTTAAAGTACTTACTTCTTCATTTATTACTTCCTGAACGTAAGCAAGGGAGTATTGCAATTGAGTCCACGGGGCGACTGGCTGCTTCCAAATTTTCTCGATGTGCAACGACTAGAATTCGAAAAAATGGGTCCCCGTCCACATCAGTATATCTAGCTGTCCTCCGTCTGTGTTGATTTTTGTTAGACTGATAATTTCCGAAACTACCAGATCGATTGTTGTGAAATTTTATATGTGCATTATCTGCAAAACCGAATGCTTTAAAATTGTGCAGATGTTTTAAAGTTATTATAAGCATGATAAATTTTTAATCAAAATGCATATATTTGCTTATCCCTCCAAAAAATTGATGACGTCACCCTAAAAATATCCTTATATGTGCAAAAGATGATGGGTCTATACTTTTAATTTATCACTGCATTAATATTTTTTAGATTTGCTTATACAGGGTGTCTCAAAAAATTAATGAATCAATCAATTTATTTTATTGATTAAATCAAGAATTGCAAAAACTGAATACTTTGAAATCTTGCAGACGCTTTGAAGTTATTGTAAGCATGGTAACTTTTTAAGTAAAATATATATGTTTATCAGCCCCAAAAAATTGATGAGTCAGCTCAAAATTTTGCCGAATAAATCCTATCTAAAATGTGCGAACATGTGATGAGTTTTTACTTGTGATTTACTTATACCTATAGGTGGCTCAAAAAAATTAATGGGTGTATCAATATATTTTATATTTTTATTGAAATCAGGACCGGTTCAATCCATTTTCCCGAAAATTTGGGAATACAAAACTGTTATTATTAGTATTACACTGCACCGATCTAAATTGATTGATATACGTGTCCTTACAAAAATGTTGATGACGTCATCGCTTTACATTTACATTAACAGTACATACACATGTTTATTTCAAATTATAGGGGTTCTCATACGAAATAAAATTCCCAAAATCAATTTTATAATTTTTCGAAAATGCTGGATGTTTCACTGTATTCCAATGGCGAAGGAAGTTCTGTCGAAATAAATGTGATGGTTTGTAGGCGATCTTTGATTTTCCCATACTTGCACGTTTAAGGTAAAGTTTCAGAATAATAATAATCATCAATGTAAATGCGTGGCCTTGATATTTGCTGTCCAAGCCATGGACATACTAAACTTATGGATTGCTCTGCTCGCGATGTCTCCGCCCAAGTCATCCGTAACTGACTTAAAAAAATTTCTCATATAATTATTTATAAAAAAGAGGTTTATTCTTAGTTACTAAATATAATCCAACATTCCTTTGTTTTGTGAAGAGGACACATGGTGGGAACTAATACAAAAAGTATTTATTTTCACATCGTACAATATGTATTGCAAAAATGAGTAATCAGGTCCGAGTGTCGATATTCAGAACAGCGCTAGGTAAACATTAAAACAAGTTTTTTTTTGCAAATCGGTGTATTTTAATATCAAGGATAATATCATCCACGTAGTTTACACGACAGCAAAAGTATACATATGTACAATTTTTTTTCATTGTTATAGACCCTGCTTATCATCAAAGCAATAATATTGTTTGCTTTACTTAGCACCATCTCTACAAACAGTATGCAAAAATATTACTTTTCATACACACCTATATTAAAATATGATTTCCTCTTGTATACAATTCAAAATAGAGGTACATACATATAGAAATTTTTTTTGACATTTTACAATAAATAACCACACATGGTTCTCTAGATTAAATCTGCTTTTTTATACATTTCCTTAAGTAAATCAAGAAATAACGTGGTGTTAAATAAAAATAAATCAACATGGTCACGTACTCGTATATTTAATAATAATTATGACACAGTACACAACGAAATGAAAAATATATTCAATTGCAATGATGTTGATATAATTTTTACAAAACACGCTTTTAAAATAATATATTAATAAAAAATCACATAAACAGTATAAACTCAGATAATTACTCGGTTGTATACTTCTAAGCACCTAAAACTAAATTGATTTTTATAAGCGTATTGGTACAAATTCAAATGAAAGATTGTGGAAGAATGATACATTATTCCTTATAGAGACATTTACTGTTTCCTATTGTATTGTATAGTATGAAAAAGCATCTGAAAGCGACTAAGTATATTAAGATATATTTTTAGTACTGAGAGATCTAAGTACATACTAAACAAGAGTACATTGCACATTTATTTTTCTTTTCTTTTTTTCTTGGTTTATAATAAATACCAAAAACTCTGAAATTTTTTGACAAGACACTTTCCCAGTCTTTTCTTTATTTCAATAAAAAAATATAAACCATGTCCACTTATTTCTTGTTTTAAAGTACTTTAAGCCTAATTCACTTTTGTTCTCTTAAAATTTTTACTTCCTATGGATAAATTCATGCATCCCCACTCATTAAACAAGTTAAGTACAAACACTAATGTGTCAACAAATTTTAGAGCTTTTGTTAATACTGATTCCAATAGTAGTCACTAGGTCTTTTAGACACAATTTACAATGTTAGGCACCCACATCAGACCAATAGTTCCAAAGATTGATGAGAGATTTATGGATACCAATATAAGACCAACATGACTTAGGCTACTGGCAAATTCTATGAAAATATATTTTTTAATATATATATATATATTGTGCAAAACTATAACATATAATATTTACATATGAGTTATATCCACATACAGAATTTGATAGAAAAATCCATGACTATATGAAACAACAAATAATACAAAATAGAAAAAATGCACTGTTCAGATTGTCCAAATGAAAAAACAGTATTAGTGCACAAACCTACAACAGAATATACACCTAAATGTAAGAATTCTCTTAGTCAATATTCTTAAGAATTGTTCTATCAAATCACCACAACTTTGTCCAAAATGCAAGAATAGCTTCCGCTTAATAGTATTTGTACATTTTTTCTCAAGCTATGATGTCATAAAGTAACTTTGAAAGAAATATTTAAAACTTAACATTTCAACTCAGAGTATATCAAATTTAAAATAAAACTGCGTACTTATATATTTCCAATATAGCACCGAAAATCACTATTGTAACAATTTACATGTATGAATTATTATTTTCAAAGATCGGATTATTGCTTCATTCCGCGTGTTATTACAACATCAGTCTGGTTTTGAGAAAGGAATATTTGGCTCCATTTTCAAAGTAGTCGTCGTAGGATCATAATGTCCTGCTAAGTAATAGATATCGTTGTTGTCGTAAATAGTCGCATAACGCTGGGGGTCATCTCCTAATCGTTCTGTATATTCTCGTAATGGCAACACTTCACATTTATGCGATATTGTTTGGACATCGTTTTCATCGACGTGCGGTGATTCAAAAAGAGCTCCCTTCAATGAAGACATACTGTAGATTTTAAGGACAAGGTGCAAAACTACTTACGGGATATTGCAAATTTAAAGGACAACCGACTGTTTCTTCTGGATGATAGAACCATTTCACTTTAACAACCATAGTCCCACATAGCTCCCACATTGCCTCAATTTTACCAATGTAAGGTCTATCAGGTCTACCAGTTGAAAGAAATACGGCTGAATCTCCAACCTTGACAGAAAAACAATATTAATACAAGTTCAATAACTTATAAGCAACCATGCACTAACATCATCTTGCAAATTAATTACAAGTTCTAACTACAAATTAAAAGACAAATTTTACTATAATTGCCACAATCCGAAATCTGTTAAAAAAATTCCAATTAGTTAGAACCAGTAATTCATACATTTTGATTTTCAAGAATTTGTTTAATAAACTGATGGAAATTGAGAAAATATTTTTCAATGTTGATATTTAAATAATCGTTAAGGTTTCCAATAGTAACAACAGATACTGTTTATTCAAAAATTAAAATACCACCACATGTTGAATTAAGTTGGTGACAAATAAAACTCCTCTAAGGTTTATTTTTATATTGGCAAGTTGGCAGTACAAACAACTTCAAATTTGAAATTTTATGACAAAAATGTTATAATAAAGTAAACAAAAACAACGTGTTTTGAATAAAAACCATCCTCATCCTAATCTCATTTTTTTTGGCATCAATAATCTCCCAAGACAATGTTGTCGGTTGAGTTTTCGGACTATCTTGCCAGTCTTTTAATTTTTGAACAGATAATACCGAACCGTAAATATTGGCTTATACCGACAAAGTATGTATCATGAACTTTTGGAAACCTTAATTGTGTACATTTAGGAATTCAAATAACTAACCTTAATAAAATTAAAAGTGACCTAGTTACTGCATTAGATTCCTTTTCAGTAGTGGTGTGATAAAAAAAAAATGCAATCGAATCATTGAACATGAAATCGGATGAGTGGGTGGATACATAAATGAATTAACTTATTCAGTCGGACGACACATTAATTCAATTTACTGGGGGCAAGCGTTTTCACGTTCAAGATACGAAGCGATTACAAATTTTCTACCAACTTTGTGAAGCAACCTACCATTAATTAGGAGGCCAAAATTGGATGTTGTATTGCTTTTATGTTATATACAGGTGATTCACGAGGAATAATGAGCCTTAAGAAATGTTGATACAACTAACATTACTTTTCATAGCTAATTTTGCTATACTTCTATACAGGATTGCGGCGCATCCCCGCATTTCCGCAAAGAAGTGAACCACAAATTAGACGCAATGTATGCAAAGAAGTGGACAGGTTGGGTTTCAATTATTCATTGACCCCTATGAATCCTGATACAACTCCACTAGATTACTTTTTATGGGGAACAATAACTGATGTGCTTCGTTTTTATGTTCTGTTCGTTATTAAATCACCTTTTCCCTTAGTGTTTCACTTATTTGAGTTTTTTGATTTTAATGTCAAAACTGACAAACTTAGATATGTTAACATTTTATTAAAAACAGAATTTTGAATCTACATAACCTCTGCATCAAAAAATTTTTTCAGGCTAATTATTCCTCGTGAATCAGCCTGTATATTGCTAAATACTGAGTGACTATTAATATTTGTGAATTTTTTTTGTCAGCTTGGCAACCTATTTAAAAATGACATTTATGACAGCTGCCATCGTCTCAACCGATCACCACGTTTCTTAGACATGTCAAAATTGACAACTGTGAAGTAACGTACTACAGAATTTCCAACACAAAAATTTGTTTGAATCATTAATAGTCACCTCATACTTTAAAAGTTGTTTGGAGACTATCAGTTCATCATTAATGTTAATGTTTTTTAGTATCAATATTCGATATTATTAAATTATCAACCCCATGAGAGAAATACAATACTCCTAAAACCAATCTACATATAAGCTACGGAGCTTGTGTTTTTTTATATTACAGTCTTTTTTTATGCAGTAATTTCTTGTTATTGAATTTGTACACTTAACAATTTTCCGGCGTTTTAGGTGTGATGATTTGGTTCGCTTTAATCAACAAATTTACTTCTAGTTCCTTCTAAATGAAATTATATTTAACAGTTATTTATGACCTGATTGTAAGAATTAAACTTGAAAACAGTGATAAATGCAACTAACACTTAAATAACGCGAAGAATGCGATTGCAACAAACAATCATATAATATTGTGCAAAAATTGCCTTAAGTATCATATGCAATAACAATATTTAGATAGTTTGCATTTATTTTGAATAGTGAAACAAGCCTGTAAAAATAGTATTCATGGAGTTGCAATAATTTGAAGTTAAAAAAAGCTGTAACATGAACAAATGTTAAGTACGTGAAAAGAAAACATTTGAAATACTGTTACGACTATTTGAATAAATCAAATTATTTATATATATCTCTGTTTTTAATAGCAAAATTTCGAAACATGCATAACAAGCACAGCTTAATATTAAACATGGTTATCCAATTCAATAAAGAAATGTGCGGTATAATATATAATTGTACATATCTACATGTTCGAAATAGATTGCCGCATATTTGTAAAAATTCTAAACACTATCAATTTTGGCAACGGAAAAAGACAAACCTTATCCCAGAATTTGTAGCCGTGAATAGTACTTACTAGGGATAGGCGGAAAGAAGTGATTGACTCACACCACTAGTCCTCACAGGCGTACGGCCGAAGTGAACGCGAAGTAAAGCTCTTATTAATTATTTATATCTATCCAGTGAATTTGGTGTCCAACTTAAACTACTTAAAGCGAAAGTATAAGTTAATTTTAGCAAAATTTCGGACTTAAAACACACTTGTCTGACCCATGAAAATGTAAAACGCTTCGTAATTCTGTGTGCAAACAATGCAATTGTCTTGCATGGGAATGGATAAATATTTGAATTAACGGATTGATAGGTGGACCTCGAACGACCATGATAGTGAGGTGCGAAATTGTAGTGGGGGTTATTTGCCGAGTTTTCACTAAACTGCGCCTAAACCTAGTGATTACAGTTTATATATAATGATGTGTATTTTAAACGCAAAGAAAAAATTAGCTTCGATTGGGTTGTACAAGACATCCAAATTTTTAATTTCATGTTTACTTGGTGATTTTTTTTTAGAAGAAAATTTACAGTTTATGCAGCTTTTAAGGCAAAAATAAATAATTTTCCTATACAAATTAACTGGTATATAACAGCACAGTTCCTACTTAAATAAATGACGCTATTTACAAAATTAAACAAATGGACAAGTATCATCGAAAAAAGCAGAAATAAATGCTCCAATTAAATTAATCAACGTGCTTTTCTTTAAAATCCATTCCGATTTCATGCACTACTACTACTACTAGTGTTATTCATTTGCTTCTCTACACATTATTTCACAATTCCAAGCTATGAAGCATTCAAACATTCACTTGCAATCATAATTTGATTCATTCTATATAAAATTATTTGTAGAACAAACTGAAACGTAGATTTTCGGAGTGTAACTGAATATGAATTCTAAATTAAATAGCTTTGTTTGAAACACGTTTTCATTTACACTCAAGAAATATTTTCTATAACATATCTCTCCTTTTACATTTGGATATACTGTAACTGTTAAGACGAAATTTAGAATGCATAAATAACCGCCGAGCAACAAAAACATCGAAAAAAAAATGTAACTCACAGCTTACTCTACACACAATATTCAAAGAAGTCACAGGAGAAAAATAAAACCCAAAGCATATTTATGTGGTATTTATAAAAAAATATTATGAAAGTTTAATACAACATACAGGTGTTCGGAATGTCGCGAACATCCTCCAAGGTGCTTGATACAAAACGAGAAAAATGTTTAAAAAATTCCATCGCTTATTTGGTATAGGAAATGGCGCTCTAAATGGTAAAGAATTAATAATAAAAATAAGGATTAAGAAGCAATTATTTGAAGCTCATATTGATCTGAAAAATTAACCATGACACATGAAAGAGCTACAGATAAAAAAAAATTAAAAAGTGTTAAAAATAATTGATTTTTAAGTTTAACAGAAACTACGTGCAGCAACAAATGTGGCGTCATATCAGCTGAACAACCACAAACAATTCGTTGTTGCGCAAATGGTGTAAGTGTAGCTCAGGTTTTGAGTTATTTTGTTTCCGTCAATAACTGACGTTAATGTAAAAGTGAAACATGTTTTTTTTTTCAATGAATACGCGATATGTACATATTGGCGAGCGTTTGGGAAATGCTACAGAAGGTGTATGTCAGTATGCATTACGATATCCAAATCAGCAGTATCCGCAAAGAAATGTCTTGGTAAGGTTAGAACGACTCTGGGCATTTGGACTTTCCTGCCACGAACTACAAGGACCCCCGAGGCAGAAGAAGCTGTCCTTGAACAATTACAACAATGACCTGAACCAAGCATGCGTCAAATCAGCAGAGAATTGGGGATTCCGAAAAATATAGCCCATGAAATCGTAAAAACAGAAAAATTACATCCTTCTCATTACACTAAAGTGCAAGCCCTTCAAGATGATGACTTTTCACAGAGAAGAAACATTTTCAATTGGATTCTTGGGCACATTGCCGAAAATGGAAAGTTTACAAAGTAAGTACTGTGGACAGATCAGGTCACTTTTCGTAGAAATGGAATATTTTATGCTCAGAATAATCATTGAATAATCATTACTGGGCCTCTGAAAATCCACACGGTAGACATCAACACCGATTTGCTGTCAATGTTTGGGCTGCCATAATTAATTTTAAGATTGTTGCCAAAACGCATGGACGGAAATGTTTTTTAAATCTTTTAACTGGGCATTTCCAACAAATAATTAACGAACTTCCTTTACACGCCGTAAGAGACCTTCAATGGTTTCCATTAGATGGAGCTCCAGTCCATTTTTCTACTACAGTGCGCGAATGGTATTCATTACGAAAATCGATGGATTGGAAGAGAAGGTCCTCTGGCGGCGTGGCCACATGAGTTAATATGATAGAATCCACACTGCCGTTGCGACAGTAACCCAAGACATGCTCCAACGTGTACACAGCTATATTGCTAGAAGAGCAAACGCTTACCGTGAAGCAAATGGATAAAGTTTTTAACATTTATTATAAAATATTACTGGGTGTTATGCTATTAGTGTAGGTTTTTTACATTTTCCTTGTTTCATCTTGAAATCATTTATTTCTGTTTAATGAATTAACTTGTTGCTTAAGTTGATTGTAAAGCGAAAATAAAAGAGATGATATTTTTTGAAATATTTTTCTCACTTTGTGCGACATCGTCCAATATTGCACCTTCAAGGAAGTACGCGACATTCCGGACAACCTGTGTATTTGTATGTACAATCGGTGGACATATAAAACTGGTATAGTAGCTTGGACAGATATTGTAGCCGTCCATAGAGTCGAAATTTGCGAATAAAAATAAAATAAAACCGGTTCAAACGGAGCCGACGGTGGCTTGCAAATTCTGACGTCACTCTGGCATACGTTGCACAGAGACGTATTTAATATTGAATGTCATCTTTTCCGTTATGATATAATTTGTTTAATTTCTGAGCTCAATCTCGTCAATAAAAACGAAGCTCTGTTCACTGTACACAAGTTGTGGTATGGTATATTCATCGTTACGGAGGTAGGTGGAGCGAAAAAACTAGTCATCTTAGCAGCAAAGACGGCTATAAACTAATCCACGTGGACTGTTTGTTTCCTGTCATATTTTAGTTTGCTTGAACCAATTGTGTTGCACCAAACGGCTATTGCACTTGTTGAAATACATTTTCAAACTTCCATGTTTCTCTAGATCGTCGGTTTCGTAGCTGTGTGACAAATCGTTTGTCGTAGATAGAAAATAGTAAGATTACAGTGACCCTAAGATTTTGTGCAGACGACCTTAGATACACCCCTGTGTGATGCGACGCGTGCCGTAGTGACAGAACTTGCAAGCAATCGTCGGCTCCGTTTGAGCTGGTTTTGTTTTATTTTTATTCGCAAATTTCGACTCTATGGACGGCTACAATATCTATGCAGGCTACTATACAAAGATAATTTTCCTAATGTGTATCAAGCTTGATTCCCGGGACTGTTGCCGACTAAATATGCGTCATCCATCTATCATGGGACATAACATCGACGTCAAAAAGACAGATTTACACAAGCTACAGTTTTCATTTTTCTTATAATTTTTATGACAGTCTGTATCAGTTTTATATGTCCACCGATTGTACAATACCCTAATAGGATTACTCAATCAAGTGACTTAAATTGTCAAATGTAACTTCTTATAATATCTTTAGTACATATGTAAAAATACGTGGTTAGCTTATGTCATATTTTAAGAATATTACATAGCTTACCTTTTGCATCAAGTAAGGGAAATATTTGACGTTGCAATAAATACAAACAAGGTGAGCATGTTATACTAAAACTAATAAAAACTTAGACAATTAAAAATTATACATACAGTTATTGTCTCCTTTCCTCGCTGTATTGCTTTATAAAATTGCTTTCGGGATCGTCCCTTGGCTCTCGGTCTTTTGTATCCTTTGCCTGACCAACCCCATAATTGTCGAGCTGGTAGAAATGCACTCATTTTACTACGACTTTCGCATGATTCCTGTCTATCTCTTATCTTCTTCGATTTCTAAAATGACATCCATACACCTTTTAAAACAATAATACAAACAACATTCAAATACTTACGCTAGATTTTTTAGCTTCAAGAATATCATCCATCGTAACTTCATCTTCTGGATTAAAAACTGACGAGTCTTCTTCTTCCTCACCTCGGTCATTACTTTCGCTATCACAATCTTGATTGTCCACCGATTGTACGATCTTTACTTCTTTACTGTCGTCGTAATGGTGGTGCTTCTTGTGTTTTCTATGTTTTTTGTGGTGTTTTTTATGTTTGCAATACTCATCTGTACACTTGTGTTTCTTTTTCTTTTTCTTATCTTCGTGCAATAGTTTCTGTTTCAATTTGTCACGTTTCTTTTTTTTTAAACGTTTACGTTCTTTATGAGATTCGACATCTGGTTTGTTGGTGTCCTTATTTTCCTTTTCGGGGTCTTTTTCAACTTCTGCAATCGGTTTCAAAGAAACTGAAGAAGCGACAGGTTGTGCTACTAATTGCTGAGTTGATTGTCGACGATCTTCTGCCGAAACACTAGTAGAAGTTCGACGTCGTCGTTTACTTAAGCTTAGTAGAGGGTTCGGATCGTATTCTGTGCACGGAAAAAAATGGATAACATTTAAAATGTACAACAACGAAAACATAAATTATAAATTAACTTTTAAAAAAAATAATTGGTTTATATGGTAACAGCATACAAAGTGCCACGAACTTGGTCTGTAAAAAAATCTTATATTAAGTAGACAAAATTGTGGCGCCCCCACGGAAACAAATTATTCTGAAATTTAAAAATTGCTATTACATATTTGATTTTCTACAGTTGAAGCTCCCACCGTTGCATGAGTTCTTATTGATAAATAATTTTTACTTTTAGTGGCAGCCCAAATTTTCTTCAATTTTAATGTAAGAAATCGTACTAATGCAACCTTTCACAAACATTTACTGACAACATATTTTGGCCTTCTAAGGCCTGGAAATAAATTATATACAGCTAAATTGTCAGTGTTTATAAAAAAAATAATGTTCTTCCAAATTTTCATACTTCATCCTGTATATAATGATTGCACTGATCGCCAAATTACCGAAACAACCGTCCAGAATTAATGCTCAGATGTAAATGAACAAATTTAAAGTAAAGTTACATAAAAATGATTTTAATTTTTTTTTCCAGCTTATTTTTAGGTATATGAAATTTCTGCCAATGTTGAATAGCTAAAAAAAGCACCATTTCGATTATTACATTGGTCTACAAATTGAAAAAAAAAAAACTTACGAATCTGCTTTTGGATTTTTTTTTACCACGTAAATATAGTTTTTTCAAACTATTTATCAATAGAAAATTATTGTAACACGGTATTTACGGTAAATAGATCATTACCATCTTCGGAGGAATATGAAATTCAATTAGTCAGTAATTAAATTAGTTAACCATGTACTGATTCGAATTTTTCCAAGTCACGAGCAACTCAATAATGTACATTATCCATTTACTTCTTGACTCGAGAGTTATTAGTGTATCACTGTCAGTTTGATAGTAGCATTTTTTCAAGTCTCAAAAAAGCCGAGGTATTCCTTTACAAACGATAGTACGAAGTGACTGGTAAAAACACTGGATCAGGTGCAAACTGCAAAATGCACACAATATCCAGGACGAAGACATCCTACTCACAAAATTGTTAAACGAGTTAAAAGGTGTTTGCAAGCAAATTGGCCGGTAAGTGAACGTAGAAGTGTTCAAATTGTGTAGTCCCGATAGAGCATCACCAAACTATGTATTTTTTATGGGGATACGTAAAAGAAAGAGTACCTGGGCAGTTCCACGAAAATGTGAACCTCAGCACATTTTTTTGAAAATTGTTAAAATAATCTAAATCTTATAATTAGTACTTTTAAAAACTTTAAAATTTTACTGGCATATATTTGCTTTGCTTTTATAATACCATAACACCCACAGTAAAAATTTCTTGTTATTGAGGAACGATAAAATTGTTCAAAGACATGATAGATATTATATCTTCTTTAGCTTTGCTCCAAGCAAAGTAAATATCTTGATTTACTTACAATATTAAGCACGGTCGTAAGGAGTGCACCTTTAATGACAATAATGTACAATCAATACTTATTCCAACATCATCTTTAACAAAATATTACACTTCTTTCTTCTGGTATAAGTGATAATTGGTGTAAATAACAATAAGTGACTAATTTGCAAAGTGTTTAATCACACCGAAGGCTAGACAACCCGTTGGGAAGTTGTAGACTGCAGTTTCGATCTTGTTGGATCTCATCAGTACAGCCCATCCCATCGAGTTGTTTAGCATTCATTGTGTTTCGCTTATGTGCTTAAGCTTAGCAACCAGGCAACTAACATCTCACTAAGGGACTAATTTTCATGTTATTCGGAAATATTACAAATAATTGCACATCAGGTTACATTATTTCTTTTTCTCATTCTCGTTCTCTATTTTCATTGTACTTTTATTGAAATTGCCTTGTGATCATTATTAAAAATCGCATCGTTACTTACGCGAAACGGGATAATTTTCTTTCGGTAGCTTAGCTTTGAAATTAAATAATTAGTCTTGACAGCCGTTAATCTACTAATAATTTGATTTTGTTGTGTTAATCAAAATGCCTTTAACATCCACCGAAAGAGTAAGAAAACACCTATAAAAATTAAAAATACCTAACATCAACCAGCCGAAAATACCAGCAGGAATATAACGCAAACATATGCTGCACAAAGAAAAAAAAACATTGCGCTAAAAAAACGTAAGACACCATGAAAATAAAAAGGAGAAAAGCGAGAAAAGCCAAAATGAAAACAAACAAATGGAAATTTCAAATGATGGTAATGTCGTCATCAAGTAAATAAATTGTACATTCGGTAAGTTTGAATATTTTTTTTTTTAGCACTTGATCATTTTACTTTAACATTACATACATTTGTTTATTTCAACTTACAGAGGTAGTCAAAAAAAAAAATAAAATTTGCAAAATCAAATTTTATAATTTTCGAAAATGCTGGAAATGTTTGTTGTACTTCATGGGCGAGGCAAGGCCTGTTTAAACAACTTTCGAACAACTTTTTCTTTTGTTTAAAACACGTATTTGCAATTTTTCTTACTTCCGTGACAGCTAATATTCACAAGTTCACGTAAGAAACGATGACATCGTGTAAGCAACGCAATTTTTTCTCTTTTCAGACATAATCAATATTAAACTTCTTCTCGGTTTTTGAAAACCCGAAAATTAAATTTTTCATCAATATAACTGTTTTTGTATGATAATTCATAATTCCATAGAAAATGGAAAAAAATTATTAATTTCAGAAAAGAGAGGTGCAATGTTTTGCGTAAGTAACGCAAACTTTTAGTTAAATTTTAACTAAATGAAATATGACTTTAGTAATATCAAATTATTAAGAAAAAAGAGAAAACAAATCTCTACGATTAGGTTAAAAAGTGTAAAAGCACTTATGAGGAAAGTTTAAAATAAAAAAAACTTTGCAGAGTCCCATACGATGGTAATGGTGGAATTGCCCATCTGCAACGCCTTTTGAAAACATGGTTGAGTTGCAAGAACGAATCGGACAAATACGTCAATTCATTAGTCCCGAAATGTTGGAACACGTGATGTTTTTTTTTATGAACAGAATTGAAGCTGGGCAAAGGTGGTCACATCAAAAGATTGTTCAGAATATTTTTGGACGTCAAGTGCGACAGTACTTAAATGAAACTTTTCCTGGCAGATGGATAGGCCGAAGGGGTACTATTGAGTGGCCTGCCAGGTCACCGGATTTCACACCGCTTGACTTTTTTTGTGGGGCCATTTGAAGAATCGCGTTTATATCAATAGACCGATTCACAACGAAAACTTACACCAACGCATTAACTCAATACAAAATTTTATTCAGCGTTTTTTTTTACTGCCAGGAAGTAACTGGAGAGCATTTTGAACACCTTTCGTAGAAAGCAGAAGTTTAATTTTGGTTTCGGTTGTTATTGGTTAATTGATTTATTGTTTAATATTAATTAAAATTAAAAATTATTATTAATTCATCTAATTATTGTTTAATAATTTATTTTGCCATTTCAATGATAAAAAAAGTATGATTGTGCTATATCAATGAATTCAGAAAAAAAGCTCTATTCAAAAATGCATTAATTATATGGTAGTAATTAATATTTTTTTACTGAAACTGGAACATCTGAAGATTTGTAGAGAATACCTGCTGCTTTACGAAGACGATCAGAAGTCTGTTTGTTGACTAACGACAGAGCATGTTCCTATTTGTTTTAATCTTGTAATTGTTTTGTTGTTTTGTTTTTCATTTAGTTTATAAATAAATGTTTAATTAAAGTTATTTTTGCCGTTTGCGGTGTTGTCTTTTTAACTTTTACATTTAAAGTCTTCTCAAAAAGAGTGGATTTAATAGTATATTAGCGGCGAGTGAATGAACAAGCGTTGGAATACCCTTCTGCGCGTATGTTTTATACTATTTTCTCTGTTTTGACCCTTATTTACATTAATTGAGCTTTTTACAATAAAAACGGCAAACATTTTAGCCTTGGGGGATTTTTTTTTTGGTAAAATAGTTACCGTTGATGTCACTGCCTATTTTCATGGCGTCCAATTTAAACAAATGGACAATTGTTTATTGTCAGCGCTTATTGCAATTTTTTTGGAGAAAATGGAAAATTTTGTACGATATAGGTAAAAACAAACAAAATTTTACTAACAACATAAACTGCAGGTGACCTCAAATGAAAACAGGCCAGAGACGCCCCCTGAGCTGCGCGATTTGGCTGCATCGGCAACAAACGATTTGGTGCCAGCCAGCGGCGAAGTAAGGCTGTCGTACCAATTCCTTAAACAAAAATTGAATTGGAAGAGAGTCTCTTATTGCATGATTTTGCGTGCTGAAAAGTGCCATTCCAATGTCAAAACAGAGAAAATTAGTTTCTCAACATATTCGGTAACCCCGCAACCTCAACAATTGCCTCCTAACCGCTTTTCCGTGACTTTTGACACACCGATATATAATCTGGTGGGAAATCTCTAAGTTAATATAACATGTTATGCAACCATGATGATGATTCGACTAGCTAACTAACTAAATTAAGTCCGAAAAATATTTTGTTACAAATCGCAATATATTACGAACAGGTGCTTAACAACTGACGCATTAAACTAATTATACGTTGTTAAAGAACTCTTGCCGATAGTAAAATAGTGATTTACGCCTAGAAGTGCGGGAAGTCATATTTTACAGTACGAATGAAATGTTTTGCGACGTGGCGACCGAAGGGAGTCAAATCCTGAACACTACTAAAATGAGTACTCAAAGAGTCGCTAGACTTATAACGCACCGGATTTTATTTTTTATTTTATACTTTGACCAGTTTTATTTAAAGAAAATTTTGCTATTCAATTCCATTCGGGTGCTTACAGTTAAGTTATGAAAGTTATTTTTTACTGGACGAAGATAGACTGTAGTATTTGTCAATACTATAGGTTGTAATAACTAACTTATAACGATCGCATATTCAATGGCAGATCTTGGAAGTGTTTTGACGTTTCAAAACAAATTCTACAAACGTTGAAATAAATGAATTATAATTTGTTGCGTGTTTTGTGATGACAACTTTGATGTTCGTTGAGTTTCAAAGGTAAAAACGTAGTCCCGCTCTAAGAGCATGAAAATCACACTGGAGGTTTTTTTGTAGGCAAGTGAAATCAACAGGTGGTGGTTTTTTTAAATTACCATTTTTACATAAGTATTTGTTTATTTTTATTTATTTACTGTTGCTGTTTTGTTGTTGCTGTTCTTGTGTTTTACTTCGAAGCTTCGAGTCACTAATCAATTATGATGGAAAACATCTGATTTGTGTATCCATGGCATATAAACAAACAAGCAATAACGATGCAGTTTTGTACTTTTGTAATCAACAGTTGTGAATGGTGATAAAAAGTAAATTCGGCATATTCAAAGAAGATGTGGCCCTCTGATGTAACCAAGGGTGCGGCAGCTGTAGTGCACTGGATGGAACACGGTAAAATCTTTATAGTAAATACTACTTAGTGCGGCAATGGTCAACTTCCCCAGATTCATAATATTCATGAAAATGTGACTTTCTTGACGGTTTCAGCGAAAAACATTAAGTAGGGTCCGTGTGTGCTAGTAACGACTAACGACTGTTTGGCAAATGTTCCGATAAGTCTTGGTTGGTTGTGCTTACCGCACCGGCTCTGATAATAGCATATTTATAAGAGTCAAAATGGTGCCGGGAAACTGAATCTACTGGACAGTATGAGATAAACGTAATAAAAGAATCCGTAACATATTTACAAAGAAGCCCTTTTACCTTTGGCCAAATGCTGCATACATATTAGATTTTTTTTTAAATACATTCATATTTTCAGAGTCGGCTTGGAATTCAGGAACTACAATCGCAGTTCATTTTACTAAGTAAGCTAAAAAGAGTTTTTTAATTTCTAAGAAATCTAGGAATATAATAATTAATAGTGTGATTATTATTGTTGGATTGCATGTATCAAAATTAACACAGGGCTTTCATAAATGATTGTAACATCTAAGTGAGCAATTCATCTTCCTTAACATGTAATAAACAGTGCGCTTTATTTGAGCGATGCCCGATGCCGGTTTGAAACGACAAGAATACTCGTAAATAAATGTCACTATTCAAAACTATCTCGATTTCAGATGGTTGTTAGCCAAGCCGTGTTTAAAGAATACGAAAACTGCCGAACGCACTCAAGACCTGTTTAATGAGTCCAAAGCCACGGATTATGAAACAATGTTTAAAGCATCGTTTAGCGTCGTTCATTTACGTTCGCTAAACAACGTTTGAGCTTCGAGATTACAAAAAAAGGCTACTATAACTAAGAATAAGTGTCAAACCTAAATTTTTCAGGTAGCTGAATGAAGGAAACATTTATGAAAGCCTTGATTTAATAATGTATCGTTATTTTGGTTTTAATATAATCATCATCATTCAAAAAATAAAACTGGCAGAATAAAAGTTTCGCATTGTGCCAAGAAATTGGACTTCTTTAAATTTTTGGTGAGACATTAATTAACATTGATAAAACTTTATTTATTTATCTTCTGTAAACAAAAAAATTGATTACATTATCATAAAATTATAAAATAATATAGTTTAACTCTTTACAAGTATTTACAGAAGACCTTAAAAAAAGACGTGTTTTTTATAATTTCAACAACGGTACGAAGACTCACTAAGAATCGAAAACGAGAGTAAAGTTATGACAGTATTGTATTACATGTATTAAAATTCAAAGGTTTCTGTTTACAAAAAATTACTAAATAAATCTTTATTGAAGAATACACTCTAACATGCACGTAGAATGGGGTTAGGGAAGATCTGTCTAATTATATAACTTTAAGCCAGTTTTCTGATAAAAAACTTCATTTCATGATTTTGAAACTCACCTATGATTGGATAATCAGGTGGCAACAATCTAATATCCTCCAGCGCTATTCTGCCACTATCACCATCGTCAAATTCCACAGCAACGAATTTAGAATCCAAAGCAGGATTCGGAGTGCCTGGTTCAGCAACACTGCCGGGATACAAACAACGATACTGTTGACTCCAATAAGCACAAAGCCTCGTACCAGCGAATAATTCCTCGGTACTTTTTGGAGCGACTTCGACTATCTACAAAAAAAAAGTTTACCACTTAACACATTGTAAACTTTTTTCCCCCCTTAAATAACATTTAACAATGCAAGTTTATCAGTTAACGTAAAACACTGACCTAGAATTCTTAGATTCGACGAAAAGAATCACGACATAATGTGCCCTTTCAGTATTTTAAATTATTGACTTTCATAAAAATGCAGTATTTTTAACATAAATTCACTGGACATCATACAACTGTAGCTTCGTATGTTTTTTTACAACTTCTTGCTTAATAAATAGTATACTATTTCCAGCGATAGATTGGAAAATTTTGAATTCACAATCGCCAATCGGAGAATCCAAAATATACTAACATTATACGGTTAAAGCAGTTAAAGAGTTGTAGTTTAAAAAGTTGGCAACCAACGTTCCTTTTCCCGCGCAACGAATTTCCTACGCCTCTATGCCTGCGCCAGTCGGCCGGTTTCGTTTAACCTGTGTTTTGGACGATTAGCTGATTGACGTTAATTTAAAATTTTGATTCAAAAAGTTAAAAATTGTGTTTTTTGCGTTTAGTGTTTGTGTTTTTTTACTTGCTTTGATTTGTTAGATATGATATTATAGACCTTTGTGCTGTTTTTTGTATAGTGGCTGAAGTTTGGACATTTTAGGTTAAGTTGTTTGTGTCAAAAAACGTTTCATATGGACCCCATGGAAAACATTACGAATAAAATTCATAATTACGCAAGAGTGAGTTGTTGATTTATTCTGTGCAATAATTATATACCATTATATTTTGTAGCCCTCTTCAACCTGGTGCAATATGACTGTTATTGACAACATCGTGGCACAGAAAATGATTGCCAATGCGTATTCATTTTTCTAGAAGGAGAATTTTAATTTAAGAAGCCCTACAGAGGTTGTTACTTCAATATAAAGTACGTAATGTTATTTGAAGTGTATGTTCCAGTGTAGATAATATTGTCTGTTGGAAATAAATTGTGTTATTAAAAGTAATTTTACGTAGTTCATTATTTTCAAATCTACTTATATTTCAAATAAAGCGCCTTTGGTACTACTTTTTATAGCGGTCTCTTTGGTGACATTTCTGTCAGCTAATCTATCGGTGGAAATACTATAGTTATCTGTGTAAGCAATTATTCGAGAGTGTTTCGCCTTACACGTTACATAGATTTTAGAGTGAATTATTATCGTTTTCTATTTTTGAATGAAACACAAATTACTACTTCTTAAAAATTGTTGCAATTTGCTTCTTTAAAACAAGTGATGTGGAAAAATACATTAATATTGTAATTATCACAGATCAGTGTCCTGACAGACAGTATTCTTTCTGACAACATAACATAATAAATGTTAAAACCTATCACGTTCGTGCTTTTCAAAAGTCGAATTGGAATCACGATTAATTTAGTTCAATGAAATATATCCATTACATACATAAATAGACCTAGCGCCTTTGTTTGAAAACCGAAGGGCTGAAAGAAGCCTAGACGTTCGATAACCTATGGAAAGGTGTACGTTAACAAAATTGAAAAGGAATTTTTAATAAACAAACAACAACACTTCAAACTATCAAACTTTTAAGGTAACAATGTGTATTTAATGATTTATATGTTATTGTTGTTACAACTTTGGATAGTCCTCTTATTCAATTTCCACAATTAAAATATTATGCTTTAAGGTTCAACTTACCGCATCTCGTAATATTTCTTCTCTGGACATGATGTGTGGACGGTTACCTCTTTCGCCATCTAATGTAATGGAATATACATCTGGTGGTTCAACAGCATTTAAGTGACCAGCGTAGAAAAGGCCACCCATTGCTGTCAAAACACGTAATTTGTCTATTTCCAAATGTTCTGACGTTAAGGTACACCTCGAATCAATAGCTTTTGCTTCAACAACTTCTGTGGTTTCTTTTTCTTCTTCAACAATTTCTTTCACTTTTGAAACATTTTCAGTGCATACGCCTTCTGATTCTTCCCCAGCTAGACTTCTTTCAACATCCTCTTCGTCCTCGTCTTCATTATTTTGACAATCATTATTATCATTGTCATCTAGATTTGAGCCCCAACTAAGTTGGTCTTTATCGTCATTATACATTTTTACTGTCAGTTCCGCTTTAAGTTTCGGCCTTATTTTAGATGATTTAATATCTGTGATAACTATGTTGTTGTTGTTTTTATTCTTTTTTGTCTTATGTGTCATTGTAGTTTCTTCCAGGTATCTTGGTGGGCTGTTTGTGAACATCTTATTCTGTAGTTGGAATTTTTCCTTAGCTGCTAGGAAATAACCTACGAAATTGTTCTTAGGCTTTTTAGCTACAATTGTTTCTGTAACCACGTGACAGCCAGACGGTGACAAAAGCTTCTTAGGTCTGCCAACCTTCCGCTTCTTTGAAGAGGAATTTTTCTCTGGAGACAATTCAATTTCGTTCAAGGCCTGTTGTCTTAACAAATCATTTTTGTAATCGTTGATTATCCTATCGCTTTGTTTTATTGCTTCTAATTTAGGCGTTTTAATATTTTCGAAGGCGCATAGAGTTGGTGGTTTAAGCAGTTCTTGATTTTTGAGTGGTACAAGAGATAAATCCATTTTATCCAATTGAGGCGGCGGAGTAAGACTTCGTTCTGAATGTGTCGATCTCTTCCGTGGCCTCTTGTATTCTTGCGACTGTTTTCTGGGTTTTAATTTGTTTAACTCCTTTTGCTTTTCACGATACTGGCGCTGTAAATCTGCCAATTTCATTCTCATATCCAGCTCCATTTCATTCATATAGGGCCAATCATTATCACAACATGAAGGCTGGCTCTTACTAGCAATAAATTTCTTAACTTCTTCCTCAGATTCAGGAGTTTTGTAAGATCTATAACTATCAATAGAACACACATCTTTGTTTATGATTGTTTCAGACGTTACTTCAATCAACGCTTTGTCAGTGTTCTTTTTTGAGCTGCGTTCGTCGTCACTATGCTGATCACTTCTAGTTTTCTTCCGTTTCGGTTCATGTTCATCTGAATGTTTTCTCAATTTCCTCTTTTCCTTCTTCCGTTCTTTAGTTTTATCTTTCTCAGTTTTATGTTTTTCATTATTTTCTTCCAAAATTCGTTGTTCAGCCAAAGCACACAGTAAATCTAAACCACCCAAATTATCTTGCATTCTTTTTGAAATAGTCAATTTTTGATGCTCTTCTACTGATTTTGAAGACGTTTCTTCATCTATACCCTCTGCTTGTTCTATTGTGACGTGATTTCGGCCATTTTCAAACTCGACTATGCTGTTTGACAACAATTCCAAGCCACTAATGTCGGGTTTCGAGGTGTTGTCATTGTGTTGCGTTACAACAACCAATTCTGTGTCTTTGTGGCAATTTTGAATTTCTTCCATTTGTGTAGAAACTTCTTGTACTTGTTCAGGTTCTTTCGGTTTAACTTCTTGAATTGGATCAGGTACGACAGTAATGGAAGCACTGCTTTCAGGTTGTTCTAGTTTTGGTTCAGGTAAGTCCTGCTGCTTCACTCTAATATCTGCGACATCTTCTATAGGTATAAGATTCGTATTATCGTCTTCGCTACATATCGGTGTTTCGGTCTGATTGCTGGCATCTTGAACGGCTAAAGGTTCTTCTTCATTAATGGGAATTGTTTCTGGTGGCGGCGTCAAACAAGTAACTGGAGAGGTCGCCTGCGACCTGCATATCGTTTCTGAAGGTGTCGGTTGTGACAAAATTAAATTTGTTGGATGCTGATAGATTACATGTGTAGTAACTAGAGGGGTCATATTTGGATCGGTGAAAACAGTTCCAGTATTACTGGCGATTGTACTAACAGCTTGGAGGGTTTTTGTTTGGTCCAAAGTCGTAGCGTCTGTTTCTATTTTAATTAATGTAGTAGTTGGAATGGGTAAAGGAATTTTTCGTTTGTTGTCTGTAGTGACTGCTACCAAACGAGTGCTATGCGTCTGCGTATGCTGATGAAGTGTAGTGCTGCTTGACAAGTAATCTGATGCAGCAGAACTTAATAACTGCAGCGGGGGCGGCGGTAAGGGAGGCAGAAGAACCGAAGGAGGTTGGTGATAGCTGGGCCAAACGACGGCTTGCTGAAGGGGTTCTGGAAAGAAAGTTTACAAATGAAAACTACCCTTTTTTAATTATGAAAACGTTATAAGAACAGAAAAACTGGGAAAGATTGTGATGCAGTCAATGAATTGGTAACTAACCTATCCCGGTTGTGGGCAAAAGAAGGAGACCTCCGGTTGTTGGGTCACGGACTAGCTGGAATCCGACAGGAGGCATTGGTACCGGGAGAGGAACCATCGGCTCCATAGGAACGGGCGCTACAACACACAACACAAAAATGTGTTAAAATAAAAATAACGCAAAAAGAAAACAAAAATGAAACTACGGGGATGGTTAACAAAATTTTAACCATAGATACAGGATAAGCGTTTTAAGGATGGCTGTTGAGTCGGGGAGTATTTAGTAGTTTTTATAAAGTTAAAGGTTTAAAGCGATGGGATTATTGTCGAAATGTGAAATGTATTCATAAGATGTAACGACGGATTATCTCACGCATTGCATTTGAAATTTGGTCTACTACTGTTCACAACTTTAAAATGATATTTTGCGTGACATTTCAAATTCTCTGATAAAATACAGTTGCGGCCAGAGAATCTTGGGCGTCACTTTTCCGTCACTTTGCAAATTTTGATGTAGTCCATGCTTTAATGTCACTTCGGCGTTTAAAGTTTAAAAGATTGCCACACCGCATCCCGTGTCAGCATTCCGCAGTGTCAAAAGTGACAATACAAAAAAAAATAAGGTTACTATACTTAAAGCTGTTTCACACTTTGTGACAGTATGAATAAGGTTGAAGCAAATGCTTATCAGTAAAAGGTCGAAGTAAAAGCATTTGCTCGAAGAAGAAGCAAAATTTTATTTTAAAGCAAATGGTTGCCAAAAAAGAGTGTTTCCATCTATACCTACCTAAAAGCATTTAAATAAACAGGCCGATCATAATTACTACAAAGATTTCATTCCACGAAATATGTAGGTAAGGGTGTACCTACTAGTAGAGTCAATTCTCAGAAGCAGATGGGATTTTGAGTTTTTTTTTTTTAATGTCTATTTTAATATATTACTTTGAAATCAGATAGGACATTGCAAAGAATGCGTGTAGGTATCTTTAAAAAAAAAGTGACCACTACTTTTCGTGGCAATAAATATTCTTTCAGCAAAAAAGTTATAAAAAATTCATTAAAAAATTTGTTTCACCCAAAACTTTTAATGTGAGGAAACAGCTATGTACCAATTATTTATTATACAAAACGATAAAGAGAATGAATTTACGAGGGAAAAATGTTCGTTCACGAGTGACGGTAGGCACGAGTATACGAGTATAAAGATTTGTTATTTATCATTTATTTTAGTTTGCAACAGATTTTAACTAAAATTTTAAAACTATATTCGGCTGTGGCCGTACGAAATATTTTCAATACGCCGGGTTGCGTCGAACGCAAACCCGATGGCCATAGATCAAATACATGCGTTGTCTTGGTTTCAGTTTATTGGGTTTCATTTTGCAACCTTAACAAACAACAAAATAAACAGTGGATAAAAGACTTCTTTATCTACCAATAGATAAAGACTTGTTTAACTACTAAAAATAAGGCCAAAGAGCCTACTTTTAGCACCTGGTATAAAATAAAAAAAAAAATACGGCGACAATCAATGCATTTTGAAATTTTCATGAATATATACGAGAGACAGGGATTTTGTTGCGCAGATTAACTATCCCGTGTAAACAAATTGAAGATCAACCTCCAAGTATTTGATCGGTATTCCCCTATTCCCACGCTCTCAATATTCATGTTTTTCTAAGTTAACGAATATGTTTTGAGTTTATAAATAGGGTCTAAAGAGTGTTTTTATGTTTCAAATTCCGCGACTTTTTATATAAATCAGATTTTCGATGATCTTCGTATCGGTAACGTTTATATTTAGGTATTACAGATAAAACATTTTTCGGTTCTCCAAAATATTTAAGACATCTGGCATGGACGTAAATTTCTTTGTCGCTATTTAAATAATTCAACAATTTGTTTTGTTTTACTGTAATAGCAACAGTATCAAGTGCTGACGGTCACCTTGTTACTTTTGTTAATTTTTCAATATTTTGACTCGAAGTCCTCGGTGTATCTCTACTTGCTGCTTGGTTGTAAATGCAGTAAAAGATTTCAATAGAATCAACAATATCGTGTTGTTGGTCTTGTAGGATACAATAAATAAATAGGTAATACTGAAAAATGTCTTCAATTAATAATATGCGTGATGAGTATGAAGCGTAGGAAATCAAGACGTGAAAACTCAATACCAAGAAGTACATATTCTGAAACCAAAAATATTAATGTTGAGGGTCTCAACTCTCACAACTATTCAGTCAATATGTCTGAATTACGTACAAAAATACAGATGTAAATAAAAAGGAATTACTTCAAACAATCAAAAACGGTAAAGGATGTTTATTTCACGTTTGACGAGAGCATATGTACAATAAATTTCGGAACTAACAAAACACTGTGCTGATTATGACAGTGACTATTTTTTTCTCTGCAAAGTAATGAACAGACTGAAAACACGTATAACTGATCATAATAATGAATTAACAACTAATTCAGTGAGCAGTCACATTATAATTAATTTTTTCGTAAGTACTGATTTATATTCAATTAATTGTTTCAATTAGTTTTTTGTTAATTTTAGTCACAAAAAAACTCTTTTAAAAAATAAAAACACTATTGTCGGTTTATAACCTCAAAACTTATATTTCCTTCACTTCGAAAAATATACGAATACTCAGAGCGTTCCGAGCGGGAAAAGAGAAATACCGGCCTTCAAATTGTTTGCTCAGTACATCATATGCCGAGGCAGAAAGTGTTTCATTCCTGTCGAAAAAACTATAGTTTACTGGGAGGCGTAACCTTCAGGTGAACTAGTCCTCCAGACACAATCATTTAATAAAACAAGTAACATTATGATAATAAAGAAAACTTACCGCCGTAATATTACAGTTTATTTCTGTAATATTATTAAATAAATATTAAAACTTAATAGGCCCTGCAGGGTTGACATTTTATTAAATTAACTCAAGATGCTTTAATTTGACATTTACAGTGTAAATCAACAGTGGGGCCCTCACAGGTCGGAAATGGTTTGATTCCTGACCGCTTACGTTCATTACTGACCGCTTTCAGGCTTTTCCGTCGTTCTTTCCAACCTTTCAGGGGTCAGAATAGCTCAATGTTACTAACTGATCGTGAATAAAATTCCTTTCTGTTGTACATATTCATAAAAATTTAGAAATATGTATATTGATTTAGGCCGTGAAAATACTTTTAAATATACTTAATTATATATTTCTCTCAAAATAAAATTAACTTTTTTATTGAAAATTTTATGTTTTTTTTTTACCTAAAAACATTATTTTCACGAAAAAAAAATCATTAAAAAATATGAAAAAATCAATACGCTCTACAACGTGAATACACATAAAAATTAATTTTTACTCCTGGTTTAAAATTATGAGTCGTACAAGTACAGTGTACTCTCTTAACGGGCACTCCTCATAAGCGGACACCCCTTTTGTACGGACAATTTTTCTGCGACCGGCCAACGCATAGGCATTTTTTAATAAATGTTGTTCTCTTCTCCCCATGTAACCGGACACGGACAGTGCTTTCAAAAAAAATTTTCGAACGCAATCTCTGTTGTACGGACAATACTTGGCGACGAAACGCTGAAACAGCGTCAATAATCTCTTTCGTTTGGTGAGAGTGTAATTATGTCTCAAAAGAAGAGAATTTTAACGTTGAAAGAAAAAATCAAAATAGTGGAGTTTTACACTAAACATAAAGTTAGTGCTCGAGTCTTAGGAAAAACATTTAAAATTGGTAAAAGTCAGGCGGCTACCATCATAAACAAAAGAAACGAACTTCTAAAAGAATAGGGAAACAAACGTTAATGTCAATAAGAAGCGCACTTTCTTCAAACCTGAAGGTCTAAAAATTGATCAACGCTGCTACGAGTGGTTCATCAAAGCAAAAAATAAAAATATTTCACTGTCTGGGACAATAATAAGAAGTAAAGCTAAGGAAATTGCAGAGAGTTTGAACAATCAAAATTTTAATGCATCCTCCGGATGGTTACAACGCTTCAAGAAGAGATACAACATCACCTTCAAAGCAGTTAGTGGGGAAGCAGCTAGTGTAAATCAACTAGATGTGGCGGAGTTTGAAGAAACACTTCCTTCATTGATACGCGGTTATGATGCACGTGATATTTTCAACGCGGATGAAACAGGGTTGTTTTTTCGGGCATTGCCCACTAAAACTTTTTCATTCAAGGGTGAGAAGTGCTCCGGTGGAAAACTGGCAAAAGAAAGATTATCTATTCTACACAGTGTGAATATGGCCGGGGAACGTGAAAAATTAGTCGTCATTGGTAAAGCTGCTAGACCGAGGGCTTTTGGAAGAATTAATTTAAACACTTTACCCGTTTCATGGTATTCTAACCAAAAATTTTGGATGACATCCGACATAATGAGTGAAATTTGATAGAAAAATGGCTTCTCAAAAACGGAAGATTCTTCTTTTTCTGGACAATGCGGCATCGCACCCCAAAAACTTAAAATTAAAAAATATTAAAATAATTTTTCTTCCACCAAATACTACGTCGGTGTGTGTGCCAACCCCTAGACCAAGGGATTATTAAAAATTTCAAAACTTGGTATAGATCCATGATTGTGAAACATGTTCTGGCTAGAATGGATGAAGCCACTTCTTCAGAAGATCTGATTAAAAAAATCAACTTGTTGGATGTTATCTACTTTATTCAAAAAGCATGGGAGAAGGTGACTCCTGCGACGATAACAAATTGCTTTCAAAAAGCGGGATTTAGATTCAGGAATGACACTTTTGAAAAATCCATAGATGATGCTTTTGAAGACGACGATGATATTCCCTTAGCAGTGATTGCAGAAATGACTCGAGGAATGAAACGGATCAGCAGCAATGTTGGCTTTGATGATTTTGTTAATTTTGATAACGATTTATGCATTAACGATGAAAGATTGGAGATAAACGAGCCAAGTGATGTCGAGATAGAAGAAAATGAGGAAGAAGTAGGCGAGGCAACGACAGAATACATGGAAAATGTCTCATCTGGATTCATGAAAACGAATAGGGAAGCTATAGAAGGTGTGCAAAAGCTCAAACATTTTTGTGCGAATAAAAACGACATGAAGGGATTTCAAGTTTGCTGTGACTTGATGTTACATTTT